TATATCTCTATATATTATATCTACTATATAATATATAATAATAAATAAAAACAAATATCAACTTAAAACAATATCATTAAAACAACAAACAAAACAAATAAAACAACAAAATTAACAAAATAACACACAAAATACAACACAAAACCACACTAAACCACACACAAAAAAAACAAACAACTACACATACCACAACAACACACCCACCACACACCCCAAACACACACACCCACACCAACACAAAACCCACAACAACCCACACACACACACAAACACACACACAACACCCTCTCACTCTCCAATATATAAATATAATTAATTATATCTATATAATTATATATATAATATACTATACATATAATTATCATAATATTAAATATCTAATTTTACAAAATATATATATTCCATATATTATATATATAAATAATAATTATATATATATATATATTATAATCTACATATATTATATATATATATAAATATATATATAAGTTATATGTTTATTAAATACAATATTACAATATATATTATAACATATATTATATAATATAACTTATCACTATTATTACTTATTGATATAATCTAATATATATTCCCCCTATATATATATATATAATATATATATAATATATATATATATATATTATATATTACATATATATTACATATATATTATATGTATATTATATGTATATTAAATACATATACATATATATTACATATATAGTATATACATATTATATGTATATTACATACATATTACATATATATTACCTATATTACATATATATATATATATATATATATATATATATATATATATATATATATTACATATATATATATTACATATATATATATATATTACATATATATATAAATATAATATTACATATATATATATATATATTACATATATACATATATATATATATCTATATATATATATATATATATATATATAGATATATATATATATATTACATATATATTACATATATATTACATATATATTACATACATATATATACATATATATACATATATATATATATATATATATATATATATATATTATATATATATATATATATATATATATATATATATATATTACATATATATTACATATATATATATATCTATATATTACATATATATTACATATATATATATATATATATATTACATATATATTAATATATATATATATATATATTACATATATTACATTATATATATATATATATATATTACATAGATATACATATATATATATATATATATATATATATTACATAGATATTACATATATATATATATATATATATATTACATATATATTACATATATATATATATATATATATATATATATATATATATATATATATATATATATATATATATATATATATATTACATAGATATTACATATATATATATATATATATATTACATAGATATTACATATATATATATATATATATATATATATATATATATATATATATATATATATATATATATATATATATACATATATATATATATATATATATATATATATGTGTGTATACATGTGTATATTGTACACATATACATGTACAAAAATATTTCCTGATCAAATGAAAGCATATAAAAAAAAGAGTGTTAAAAAATATCTTTTCCATATGATTGGGTCTTTTGCAATGAACTAACAATACTGATGATAACCTTTTGACCTTGGATGTTGCAAATAGTCTGAATATGATGGCTGAATAATCACTTCAGTATTGATTTATTCCTTTGAACATTCTTTGCATAACTATTTTACACAAAAATATTTACTGTATTAGGAAAGCAGTCATCTCAATACTATCCATAAAACAACCATATTATCTCTGAAAGAATGATGGTAATAAAAATAATGATAATAATGATAATATTCACATGAATAATATCAATTGCAATAATGTAATAATATTGATAATGATAATGATAATGATAATAATAATAATGGTAATTAATAAGAGTTGTATCAACAAAAATGATACCACTCATAATAAAGATAAACAGTATTTAATGGAATCTGTAAGATTAACTGAATAACTGAACATCAAACCTATCTATATAACAATTGGGAAAACTTATTCAGTTGTGCCAGCTGCTCTTTATAGAACATAATGGCAACTTGAATACTTAATGATTTGGTGAAAATAAACACCTTATTGTGGGATAAAAATTACATCATAAAAAAGAAATTAAATGAGAAAAAAACAACAACTGCAAGAAATGTTAATTTTGTTAATAAGTTGTTATTTCTTTTGATTGTAAATGATAATATATATATATATATATTTTTTTTACAGTCTGATAACTATATTACAAAGGAAGACTTGAAAGTTAATATTTAAGAAAGAAATTTCACCTCTGTCTGTGATCTCTACACATTTCTGCATGTGTAAAATGCCTTTAGTAATTACCTTACAGTACAGACATCTTCACAATTTACAAATAACAGT